TATCAGGAGACTTCTCCTTGTGATTATATCAGCCAATTCACCTTCTTTTATATACCTATATATCCTGTTCGTTCTGTCCCACTGGAGAACCCTGTTTAATACACTTATTCATTATTGGTCCTTAAGCAGGTACATAGTGGACCCTCCACAATGTGTAAAAGGCACGGTGCCTGAGAGCTGTCTTCAGATATCGGAAGGGTTACCTTGTGTTTACATATGTCTGGGGAACAGAACCAAGACCAAAGAGTAGAGGTTACAAGACAAAAGTAGTAGTGGCATATAAACTAGTGAGGCAGGCTAAGGGTCACATAGTTGGGAATGGTGAGAACTGTGTGGAATAAAGTGTGTGTACCCTGTCTCAAAGGGGTAGGTACTCCTCAGCTCCAGTCAACAGTTGCTAGGCAGTAATGCAGATCCAGCACTATCAGACCTTCCGGTTTTCCAAACTAAGTAGAAATCCAGATTCTTAGGTAAATCTTCCAGCATAAAGACATTTGAATCAAGAAGGCATCACCGTGGCTGGCTGTGGCGCATGGGTTGTTAGTTTGTAATCTTTGTATAGTGGATATAGCCGAGGATGTTAAAGCCTCAGATGTGAGGATGGCTTTCTAGAGAGCCAGATTCTGGTCAGCTTGCTTTCTTCAGGCCCATGAACACACTCTGCCTGTTCCCACCTTGGGCCTTTGGCCATTTTCTCTTCACAGCAGGGACACTGTGTGGCTCAGACCCCTCTCCTGTGACATCTCCCACTGCTGGTCCTTCCCCAGCAAGCCCTGTCTTCTTAGTGCACCTTCAGCATTTCCAGCACTCAGATGTCTGCTGCAATTGCTCACTGTCTAGTGGCGTCATGGTTTGTCTTATCTGAATAAGTAAGTTACAGGTTCCCTTAATGCAGAGGTTCTACTTCCTGTGGCTTTCCCGTCATTTGAAGCATGGTATTGGGTGCATAGCAGGTGCTCAGTAAGAACTGTTGGTTCACTGTTGCTAGATGACTGACATACTCAGTGCTTATGGCATCACTCTTAGCAGAAGACGACGTAATAAAGAAGAGGCCACCAGCTCTTGCATGGAGAACTTAAAATTAAATCAGTGAAGCTCTTTCAGATGACTCAGTGCTTTTGGCATTGCTCTTAGCAGACGATGAGGTAATAAAGAAGAGGCCACTAGCTCTTGCATGCAGAGGTTAAATTTAAATCAGTGGGACTCTTTCAGAGATGAAATAGACATGTCCTCTATCTACTGTTGACCTGCTGTCCTCAGAGCTTAAAATGGTGCTCAGTGTGCCTCACCTGTCAAAGGCTTTCCCTCATCATTTCCCACCAGAGATCCAACAAAATAACCAATTATGTGTGCCCTTATTTAGATTTCTTGATTAGAGATGGGTTCTGATCATAAACTATGTAACCATCTTTTAAAGGAAAATGTTAATAGGCAACTCTTTGTTACAAAGATTGCCTAAAAGAAAAAAAACTTAATTTTAACTGTTGATGACTATTTATTTTTGTATTCTTTCTCTTTTATTTGAAACACATTTTGTTTTAGAAATCTCTTTTTCTCTCACATCTATAAAGCAAAATACAACATAAACAATTCTCAGTCATCTGTGATAATGAGTGTTAGGGTATACTTTGGACACTGAAGTTTACTAATTGTTTCCAAACTTTATTTTAGCAAACTTTCCCCACTTTGTGGTGAGGATGCTAGTGAGTATAAATTGTCAAAATAGTATGTCTCCTTTATATTCTGTATTGCACTTGTTTCACTACTGTTTATTTAGCCTAGTTTCAGTGCAGTTTTGTTACAAGGAGAAGGATCGGAATCATTCATTCAATAAACATTTATTGAACCCCTACTAAGTGCCAGATCCTATTTTAGCTGCTAGAGATAGTTGTGAAGAAATTAGACATTGGTGGGAGACAACCACAAACCAATGAACAAATGAACGCACAGGAAAATATTGGATGGAGATAGGTGTTGGGAGCATAAAACAGAATGGAGAAAATATGTCTGGTGGGGGCTACTCCAGATTGGAGTTGAGTCTTTTGAAAGCTGTGACATCTGAGTCTTGAACCACAAGAAGGAACCAGCCATGGGAAGATCATGGGGAAGAGCATTTCAGGACAACAAAACAGCTACTGCCACAGACCTATCGCAGGAGCCACGTGGTGTGCTGGAAGCACAGCTAGGAGGCCAGTCAGAAGGAATGTAGCCAATAGAATTTATTATACAAGTCAAAATTACTAGCAACAAAATGAAATATGTATTTTGTAGTTTAAGTATATATGGCCATGAACATTTAGATTTCAGAATTTGTGCCGTGATTTCATGACTAAATTCAGTGATTATGTAAGATTCACATTGGAGAAAATCAGTGTTCTGAAGACTATGCAGTGCATCCCGCTTTGAAGCTTTGGATTTCTCATGACTAGGATAGGCCATTAATAATATTGGAGGAAAGTATCATCTAGTGTTATATTCTTAAATTGAATTTGCCTTGAAAGTAATCATGCATACAATGAACATAGTAAGAAACAGCTTCCTTCATCCTTTAATGTAATAATTGCTCCCAATGATTACAAGAGCTTATAGACAGCTGGAACATCCGGCTATCATGTTAGCTGGACAAGGAAGAAAGCTGTTATGGATAAAGCTTCAGATTTTCTTGCATTTTTTGATATCTGTATAACAGAGACCTGATGAGTTGCCAATACGTAACAAGCCAGAACCCTGAATCCAGAGAGCATTTGTGACATTCAGCCAACACAGAACTGCTTTCCCACCCAAAGGGTGGTCTCCAAATCTGTTGTAGCTTTTGGCAGGATTTTTATTTCACAATTGAAAACAGATGCCCTTTCTGCCCTTTCCCTTGTTGTCTGAGTTACTACCATTCAGGAGATTGCAAGCCATGGCAATCTCTCATGCACCTTCAGAATGCCCAGCAAGAGTCCTCGTTAGACACTGGTATTCAGAAGTCCTACTGTGAAACACTTCCTCTGCAAGAAGTGAACAGATTCAGGAAGGTGCCAGGATTGTGAAGTTCCGGTAGTCTGGTGGGTGTCTTGTGAATGTTTTTTGTCAAAATCAAAGCACCAGTCCTGGGTTTAATAGAAAACATCTCTCTGGATAGTTTCTATTTTAAAATATTTAATCCTAAAAGAAAATATTTAATCCTAAAGAAGTAGGTAATCCTAAAGGAAAACCAAAGTGTACTCTCCCTAATGGAATGTATTGAGTTTCATTATAGGATATGGCCCTAAAATATGCTTGGATAGGATATTGCAAATCCAGAGTATCAAAAATCACTAAACTACTAAATTCTTGATTGACTAAAAGAGACTTATTAGACATAACAACTGAATATAATGTGTGGAATTTGTTTGGATCTTGGTGTAAACCAATTGAAATTTGAACTGGTGGACAATTGGGAAAATTTAAATATGGACTCAGTATGAGGCAATATTAAGGAACCACTGGTAATTTTGTTAGGTGTGATAATGATATAGTGGTTATCTAAGAAAATAAGAGTTATAAAGACAGTGCTGTGGAGGGGAAAAAATGAAACCTGAAACTTTAATAAGATTTATTGGTTCATTAGTAGAAATGTAAAAGTGCTTCCGTAAAAGTAATCATAGTTTAGGGGAGAGGAACCTAGAGGCAGACCCAGGAGGAGAGAGTCATGGAGAAAAGGAGATTTTGAAGGATGTTCAGTGTCCTTCAGTGAAGGGACAGTGCCAGCTCTAAATGGCTCTGCAAGGGAAGAGCCAGGGGATAAATCCTCCTCACTCTTTTCCCTCCCATCTGTTGCTGATCTTTTCCTGCTCTCAAATCTAGATGGCAGGGGACTCACTGGTGTAGTCTATACAGGTCAGCCTTTGGGGCTGATAGTAGGGTGGAAAAGGGCAGAGAGTAGAACTGGGGATGTAAACAAAAGCTACTAGTAACAGCATCTTTATAAAGTATAACAATATGGGCGGAATGTTGAAGGACAGATACTCTTGGAAGAAGCCCTTCATAGAATTACAAAATGTTAGGGCTGGAAGGATCCTGAGAAGTGACTCTCAACCTCATTTTAGAGGTGAGGAAATAGAGTATTATAGCAATTTGTATATAGCTAGTTGTCACAGAGCTGTTAAGAAATTACAGACTTTTTGATGTGAACAGACACTTCTCAAAAGAAGACATTTAGGTGGCCAACAAACATGTGAAAAAAAGCTCATCATCACTGGTCATTAGAGAAATGCAAATCAAAACCACAATGAGATACCATCTGACACCAGTTAGAAAGGCAATTATTAAAAAGTCAGGAAGCAACAGATGCTGGAGAGGATGTGGAGAAATAGGAACATTTTTACACTGTTGTTGGGAGTGTAAATTAGTTCAACCATTGTGGAAGACAGTGTGGCAGTTCCTCAAGGATCTTGAACTAGAAATACCATTTGACCCAGCAATCTCATTACTGGGTATATACCCAAAGGACTATACATCATTCTACTATAAAGACACATGCACATGTATGTTTATTGTGGCACTATTCACAATAGCAAAGACTTGGAACCAATCCAAATGTCCATCAATGATAAATTGGATAAAGAAAATGTGGCACATATACACCATGGAATACTATGCAGCCATAAAAAAGGATGAGTTCATGTCCTTTACAGGGACGTGGATGAAGCTGGAAACTATCATTCTCAGCAAACTAACACAGGAACAGAAAACCAAACACTGCATGTTCTCACTCATAAGTAGGAGCTGAACAATGGACACATGGACACAGGGAGGGGAACATCACACACTGGGGCCTGTCGGTGGTTGGGAGGTACGGGAGGGATAGCATTAGGAGAAATACCTAATAGAGATGACGAGTTGATGAGTGCAGCAAACCATCATGGCATGTGTATATCTACAGTAAAATTAAAAATTAAGTAGTAATTAAAAATTAAAAATTAAATTAAGTAAAATTAAAAAAATAAATAAATTATAAACTTTTTGATTTTCAGCCCTGTCTCTTTCCCCTAGGCCTGGGAATTTTCATAAATATTCCAAAATTTTCCCAGACCCACCACACCAGCTAAGCCACTGTTCAATATGGGTGAAAATGGTAAGGAAGTCTAAGTTGTTATTCACAGGAATGTGTAAGCATTATAGACATAGCCATTGCAGTAGGCCATATTTCTGTAGCTGAAATTACAGATTCATTGTGGGTAATCTGGAAAATACATATATGTGTCAAAAGGAAAATAAAAGCACCCATAATGGACCACAGAGATAACTACTATTAACATTTTGGTGCTTTCCTATCAGTTTTTAAAATTAAAATGTACATAAATATATGTATGTGTGTATGGAAAATTAGTATCAGTTGTACATATAGTTTTGCAGGTTGTTTTTTCACTTAATAATGAATAATTTCCTATATATCAAATTGCCTTAGAATCTGAGTTTTGATAGCAGTAATATTTCAAAAATGAATACAGCATAATTTTTTAAAGTCCTCTGTTATTAGATACTTGAGTTGTTTCTTACTTTCTTCTATGATAAATAATGCTGCAGTGTATATATATATGTATGTGTATATATATACACACACACACAAACACACACATATATAGGTACATATATAAATATTATATATCCCATATAAATAATTGTGTTTATCTGGGACATATATTATTTTTATTAAAAAATTGCCACTGTTAAGAATTTCCGGGGCCGGGCGCGGTGGCTCAAGCCTGTAATCCCAGCACTTTGGGAGGCCGAGATGGGCGGATCACGAGGTCAGGAGATCGAGACCATCCTGGCTAACACGGTGAAACCCCGTCTCTACTAAGAAATACAAAAAATAGCCGGGCGAGGTGGCGGGCGCCTGTAGTCCCAGCTACTCGGGAGGCTGAGGCCGGAGAATGGCGTGAACCCGGGAGGCGGAGCTTGCAGTGAGCTGAGATCCGGCCACTGCACTCCAGCCTGGGCTACAGAGCGAGACTCCGTCTCAAAAAAAAAAAAAAAAAAAAAAGAATTTCCAGGGGTCCTTTCTATTGGGGCAGAGTGGAAAGAACATGGCTGTAGGGTCAGGCATCCCTGATCTGTTTGGCTTCCGCCATGTTCTGGATGTGTGACCTTAAGCATGTCACTTCACTCTATTGAGCCTCCTCCTTTCTGTTAACAGGGATCATACTGTACATCCCTCAGTGCTGTGATGAGAACTATACGAGGTGATGAGTACTTTTTTTCGAGATGGAGTCTTGCTCTGTCACCCAGGTTGGAATGCAATGGCGTGATCTCGGCTCACTGCAACCTCTGCCTCCCAGGTTCAAGCAATTCTCCTGCCTCAGCCTCCCAAATAGCTGGGATTACAGGCACCCACCACCATGCCCAGGTAATTTTTGTATTTTTAGTAGAGACGGGTTTTCACCGTGTTGTTCAGGCTGGTCTTGAACTCCTGACCGCAGGTGATCCACCCGCCTCGGCCTCCCAAAGTGCTGGGTTTACAGATGTGAGCCACCACACCCGGCCTACACAAAGTAGTACTTTCAAAGTGTCTGGCGTGTAGGGTGTACTCAATACATGTTACGTCTCTCTTCATTTGGGATGGATTAGATTGCACATAAGTGTATGCACATGTGTGTTGAGTGAAGTGAAGGAAATATCGTTACAAAATTTTATTCAGTATCAAGAAAAAAGTAAAACTGACTTGCAAATAGACACATTTCAATGGAAAGAATCCTTTCAGTGAAAGACCTATTACAGTTTAAGATATTGATAATGAAAACAGAAATGAAAGTCTTCAAAAGTGTATTTTTCTTTATACTGGGTTGTCCAGTAACTATTCCCTCCCTCCCTCCCATCCCCTTCCTTCGTCAGTGCTTATCTTCAAACTCTATCAGCGGGCAAAGCATGTGTACAGCGAGGCTGCGCGAGTGCTCCAGTTTAAGAAGATATGTGAAGAAGCACCTGAAAACATGGTCCAGCTGCTGGGAGAGTTGATGAACCAGAGCCACATGAGCTGCCGGGACATGTATGAGTGCAGCTGCCCTGAGCTGGACCAGCTGGTGGACATCTGTCGGTGAGGCAGCCTGGTGGGGGCCAAGGGATGCCATCAAATAATATTGTTTAAATAAATGGAAAAAGATGCAACATTTCGTAATCTATGGGAATGAAGATTGTTCCCCACTTCCTATATGAGGGGTCTCCGATGATATAGAGCTAAACTTGTTCCCTTCTAAATGCCTGTAGGATGAAAGATTTGATACCTGGCTCCATGATTTTATGGGGCTCTGGGTTTGGAGTCAGTTTGGAGTCAGCTCTTTACATCATGGGAAAGACCTTTCCATCTTTGGATGATTAGGCCTTTCAGGATGGTAACTTTGCTCAGAGCTGGGCCCTGTTAACTTTCTCATGATATGTTTTATTATACTGCTGCTCTGCCAGAAACTCCTGTCCAGTGTCCTAGTTAAGTTTAGTAGTTCTACTCAGAAGAAGGGAGAAAACTGACAGAGGATCTCAAGCTTGATGGGAGTGTGTGGGGAGATTGCTGAAGGAATCACCCAGAAAGCCAGCATTTCCTGCTTTCCAGGTTAAGTTTAGGCATTTTGAGGAAATAAGGGCTGAAGAAAGCCTAGGTGATACATGGTTAATTGAGGCAGAAATGTAAGGAGGACAACTCTTTCACAAACCTAAACACAGCTTCCCTAAAATTGTGAAAGAATGGAGATAATAGAGTTAGTCGTCTTACCCAGGAAGGAGCTCAGTGACCCGGGGAGAACTGAAACTGGGAGAGCTCTCAAACGCTAGATGTTACTTCACTGTGAGAACACAATGCCACACTACAATTAGTAACAGAAATGTAATTAACCACTTGGCACTTGTGGCTTGCCTCAGTCATTGCCACACTCCCAGCCTGAGAAGTTTAAACCAAGTAACTCCAGTGATCACAAATGGCCTGGGTAACCCAACTTGTCAAAAGACTTGAACACAGCATTGATGAAGATCGCTCTGCTGACATGTTTGCTCACTGATTGCCAAAAGCCTTCCCCAGCTTGTTTCATTTTAAGTACCCTTTTCTGAAAATATCAAGGGCCTACTATATGGAAGGGACAAATATTGTTCAGTTCTGGAAATAAGAGGAAGTGGAATTATTTGTGCACAGATCAGGAAGAAATGTCTTTGCCTGGAAGGAAGTGGGATGGTTTGAATCCCACCTGAAAAACTGCGGAAGGGCATTTGCCACCTTCCTGGAATTCTCAAATGAACTTTCTCTTCCTAGAGTGGTCAACCTGTACTTGTTCTCATGGAGCTTACCTTCTCGTGGCGAAAGAGAGAAATGACCATTAAAATTAATTTGAATGGTAGTGATAAGTGCTATGGAAAAAAGTGAGAAGGAGTAGAGACTACAGGGTTAGGTGGGTACTCTTTCTATGGAGTGGTTGAAGAAGGTCACTCTGAGGAAGAGATATTTGAGCAGAGACCTGAAGGAGGTGAATAAATGAGAACAGCAAGTGCACAGGCCCTGAGGTGGATACTTGGCTGTCAGGTGTGAGGCTGAGCAAGCTCAGCATGGCAGAGGGCCAGGAAGGAAGGAGAGGTAGTAGATGAAGTAAGGGAGGAAGTGGGCAGCCATACCACATAGGCTGTGTAGGCCATTGGAAGGCTTCTGGCTTTGAGAAGAGAAAGGGGGCAATGGAAATGCTAGGCAATTCTATGCCAAATATGCTTGGAAGGAAGACTTTTTTGCTGTGTGGGTAAAAGAGAGAAATCAAGACGACTGGTGGGTTTTTGCCCTGAGAAACTTTCCTTGTGCCTCTAAAAGCCACATTTTTGAAAAGCACTCTTCACCATTGTGGGTTAGAGTTATCTTAGAGTACTATCAAATATTAGATCAGGAAGGGGTCTTAGAGATCCAAGAAGGAACTAAGAGATTAAATAATTTGAGTAAGTTTCACATAATGAGTTCATTGGAAAGCTTGGCTCCCAATCCAGTGATTTTGCCACACCTGCCTCTCCCCTTGGGTTATACTGAGATGTGATTACACTCAAATGTCAGTCATATATATGTGTGTGTATGTGTGTGTTTGTAACGTATTTTTATCTCCTAGCTTTGAAGCTTTATGATGGAGGCCTTTGTTGTCATAGTCTCCAGCCTTTGAACATTAAGCAAAGTCATGCTGAGCAGGAACGTAATGTGTAGAGTAGGATAAAAAGTGGGCTGGAAGTTAGGAAGGTTGGATTCTGGCTCTCTTTTCATTCTGCGCTCTGTGAGTTGGAACTGTTGCTTCACTTTGTGATCTTCATTGGCTTTTTCTGTTCTAGCAGTCTCTAGATCTATACATTTAAAAAATATGGCTCTAGTGGAAAAGTTTATGGCTATGTCTTACAGGGGTTTGGAAGAGTACCTCTTATTTATCTTTTCATTTTATTTGTTTTTGGAAAATCCTTTCTTAATGGCAGATAAAGTGTTTCATTTTCATTTGCTGTATTAATTTTCTGAGAAAAATTCAGCTCTGTGAAAAACTTAGGAGCTCCATCACTTTTTCATGATTGTTTTGTTTGGACAATTGCTAAGTATGAAAGTTATTTTCTACTTATTCCATAACTATAAAGGGTTCAACTTTTCCATATTGAAAGATTATCTTCTGGCTTATTGAAGATATTGGCCAGAATAGTTGTCTGGTCCTTAAAGCTTCTTAGACAATTAATTTTTTCTTTTCTGTCACTGTGACCAGCGGATAATATTCTTCAAATGTTTCAGTTGGTTGCAATTTACTGAAAGGTCCTAAGTGGCAGAGCAACCTCAGAGGAGGATAGCCCCAGGGGAGTTAAGCTGATGCAGACATTGATGTCATTCCCTCCTTCAGTCAATACATATTTTCACATGGGTATCTGCGTACCATGTGAAATTGCAGTCTACTGTCCACTTTCAAAAGCTGTGACTTTCTCTTGTGAAGATGTCTGAGAAGCAATGAGGGAAGAAGGAGGGGTTCAGAAGAATGCAGAAATTAGTAGGAGTAAGATAAAGGATGGATAAAGGATGGTTAAAAAGGATGGGGAAGACAGATGGTGGAAGAGTAGCAGGTAGTAACATGGGGAAAGGTTCAAATAAGTGAACAGTGGAGCTACTCATAAGCCCTAGTTCTTTCTGAAACCGTGTGACTGTCTCACTGGGTCAGGCAGAAAAGGTGTTGGACATACTGGAAAAGGTCCTGGCAAGGCCTGGTGTGAGCCACTGGTGCCACAGACACAACCTCTGGCAAAGTACTGCTTTATTTAAAAACCACCACCACCCCCACAATTCCCTGCCACCATTAAAAATGTTAACATCAGTAGGGAAGGTATGACTAAGACTGGGCAGCCTGAGCAGGTTGCTTGTCTTCCCCAAATGAGGGAAGAGTAGGGAAGCTGAAATGGGTTCAAGGAGGAGCACTGCCAAATATAATCTTTACATCACCCTCCCTGGTTCATTTATGGCACTTCAAAATTCCTTTAGTGTTTCCGAAGGGTTTCTTGGAAACTATTTGTATGAAAAGACAACTAATTGAATGAGTAGATTAAGGACTTGAATACCTAGAATACCTAAGGTGCTATACACAAGCAGAAAATCTTAGAGTGATCTGAACTAGACTGAATTAAAAAGGCATCTCCTAGTTAGCATATAGGACAATGTATAGAACAACTTTGTGACTCAAGTGGGGAGAAGGGGGCTTGGGAAAGAGCACCATTGCTAGCTCTCTTTTTTGGTTGAACCTTTTCCTGCTCTTCAAGAGAAAATCAGTTTAGAATGTAAAGAAAGGCACAGGAAGGAGGAAAGAAACTATACTTAAAGAGTGGGGCTTTTTTTTTTAAATTAAATTAATGTTAGAACTTAAATTATATGAAACAAAGTATAATAATGAAGGAAAAAGATAATGTTTGCTGAATTATAAAATATCTTTTGTAACCAAACAAAATGTTAACAGAAAGAAATGACTAAATTTTAAGTAGAATTTACTGGAGAACACAAAACAGTTTTGAAACCAAGTCAGTTATATGTGAGACAGCTCATTCACTATTGGTTCCCTAGTTTTACTTAAGACAAAATAGTTAATGCCTTTTATTTTCATTTTGACACTTGTTGAAATTAGAGAGGATTAATTGCTGCATTATTGCCCAAGCTATTAAGGGAGATGAATGACAAATTTTAGTGGATTAACTATGATTACAAAAGTTAATTTACTTTGTCTTCCTCAGAAGTCTTTCTGCAATGGATTCCATGGTAAGGCTGCTCAGCCTCTCGCACCCTTTCTTTGACAAGGTCATAGTGGGGAAGAATGAAGTGCAAATCCATTGTTACATGCTCTTTCTCCATGACCTTAAGTGCTAATCTGCATACCCTGTCAAAAAAAAAAAAAAAAAAAAAAAAAGAGGGAACTAGCCATTTCAGCTCCCCTTAGGGCTTTACTTCTCTTCGGGCCTCTTTGACTTACGAATATATATGCCATTTGCAGGACCCAAACCCACTGCTCTTCAATGGCCTTTAAGTGGCTTACATTTCTAAAGTAGACTTGCGGGCATATTTTCTTATCCTTTCTCATTTGAACACTGAAGGCTGTGGTTTCTTGACTCTAAAGCAATTTGAAGGTACAGTGTCTAACCTGGCTATAGAAATCATAGAAACTGCTAGAAGGTCCCTTACCTGTGATTCTTGCCATTTCCAGAGAGCAGAAGCTAGAAGTCTTCCCAAGTAAAAAATACACTGCTGACTGCTTATATTACATATAATTTTTTAAAATATTTTAAGGGAAATATTGTAGTCCAGCAGCCATTTATTAGAACCTATGAAATTCCTAGAATTGTGCTGGGCTAGGTTCAGAGAGATAGATGTGACCTGTTCCTAAATTCAAGATTTCCTGAAATAATTTATTTCATATCCATTTGTATAATATATATTTACTTATTTAGAAAGAAATGACACAGAATTTAAATACAAGGCATAATTTCTTACCTTCCGTCTTTCTCAAGTGAGTAGTGCAGTTGGGTCTCTCTGGATCTCCTCCCCACCCTCTCCATTGCTTTGTATCTTGCAACTTCGCGCTTTATGGTCGAATTAGTTCACTTAAAAGTAGGAAATTTGACTTTGGCTATATTGGGTGCCTGGACAGTTAATTCTGTGAATACACAAGGATCAAAGAGAACATTCCTCATCATCTCCATCCCTCATCTGCCCTAGCCTTTGCCATCATGCTTTATAAAGCCGAGGCTGCCTTTGTTGCTTTAACAAACCCTTCCACATTATTCCCAATCCAGTCATCACAGTTATCAAAGTGGGATCTGAGGGATTGTAGGGTTTTGGGTTCTATAATTCTTGTATTGCCTCTCTGATGTGCAATAGCTTGGAAGATAAATCTTTAATGTTTTCTTGTTCTTCCAGAAAAAGGCACAAACATGAAAAGTTCACTAAACACCCTTGGTTCACTTACTTTTCTTTCTTTATTTAAAGTGTATAGTGGTCTCCTAACTTTTGGTCTTCTCAGAATTTCTATGGCATATGCCAAAGGGCCTATTAAGTACTAGCAGGGAACACTGCAGACAGACCTTTCTGCCTTTGTAAGTGTATGTAGCTTGGCAGGCTGCTGACCAGCTGCTGGGGCAGCCCTGACTTGTGATCAGATGTGCCACTGACTCGAGGGCAGAAGGCTATTTATAATAGCACTTACCATTCTTGATTTGGGAAATTTGAGCCCTGGTGATTTCAAACCATGTGATGGATGCAGTTCAGTCCATTTTCATCTGTAGCAGGCAGGGTGGTGACAGCAGCTCTGGAGACTCAGTATTGAATATCTTGACCTACAAAGACTTCCAGCTTCTGCTCCCTGGAAACTGGTAAAAGTCTCAGGAAAATAGACCTCGGGCCCAATTCCTATAGGTTTTACAGCCAGATTAAAAACAATACTCTCAGTTTGCTTTAGGTTCAATTTTGAAAAACCACAGCTTTCAAAAACTGTTCAAATGAGAAAGTATAATAAAATATGCCTTTTAGAAGTTGGACTGAGGACCCTTAAAGACTTGATAACTTGAATGCAGCAAAATGGCATATTTTGGATCTTAGAAAATCAAATAAGAAGGTAGACCATGTCATGGCTAGCTTTAATGCCCATATTTTAGCGTCTTCCAGAGACACTTGAGTGACACCTTAGTTTTCCACAGTAAGAGTTTGATGTGACTGCATATGGCAACCATTTTTTTAAAATCCAACAAACTGCAAACAGGCTCTTTGCCAACCTAGGAATTTAGAATAATCCAAGGATCCCAAGGTCAGAGAAATTTTTTAGCCTGGATGATGGGATTTCAGGCTTAGTTCAGCTACTGGGCCATAAGCTGAATGTTTAAGGGATAGGAGAAGATCAGTGATGTTCATTTGTTTGTAAGCATTTTTTTCTTTCTTAAATACCTATTTTCATTTGAAAAGCATATTTTAATATATATAATAAAGCAGGTGATAAAAAGAAATCAACTGAGAAGAATCATTGATGGGAAAATCAATTACTGACATGCAGTAATTCTGATGTTCTAGGGTAGAGGTAGTATTCTATTGATATGTCCAGGAAGTAAAGTATCTCATTTAGATTGAAAAAAAGAGACAAAATTGTACTAAATTAATCATAGAGCCTTTAATCCACTAATAATTTGGAGTGGATTTTATTAAGAAGAATTAATTATAAGTACATGTTAACTTTCTTGTCAGGATAAATTGCATCTTTTAAAGCTAAGTGATCTGTGTACATTGTGATAGGGCCTTTCACTTTGGTTAAAATCTTAGGTTTGAAACTGTGCCTGGTTTACAGTAACTAAAATTAACTCTTACTGTGTGGTCCTTTATATAGTTGTTGCCATCCCAATCAGATACATCTCATCTGATGTCAAATTCTGAGTCCAGTAATCAGACCAGCTCCAGAAGGCACAGGGAAGGTGGTGTGGAACTCTAGGGACTGCCATCCTCTTTGTGGAAAGGTTTGCTTAATTTTCCATTAGAGAGTCAACCAATCACCCACCCAACCTGGAGTTTAATAACAAGCTTTTTGTTGATAAGTTTATTCAGTGAACTAGGCTATCTGTTCTAGGGGACTGATTCTTCTTTGTGAAATAGCCCGGACTTAAGAATGCAGCTGAAATAGCCACTGGGGAAACCTTGTATAAGACTGTACATTTTAAATTTTGATTTGCCCTCATTTGGAGTGACCTTCTGATTCAGGGTTGCCTACATTTCTTTTACCATTGCCTGTTTTATTTTAACACCTCCGTCCTGATTTACCTGTAAGCTTGCTATACAACTCTTCAAGTGGCTACTTTATGGAATCAGTATTACAGTGGGTTATTGCTAGTTATGAAATGGGAGGAGTACTGTTGACTTACTACTTGGAGTCAAAACCAGGGACTAGATTTAGATACAATGAAAAAATTCCAAATCACTCTCTGAAACAGTATAAATGTCTTAATGTCCTAAAATGTTTGATGACACCTAAAAACCCCTCATGTATTTTCTTCTTAGAACTTAGATAGGCTATGTGTTCTACAAACATCAAGCAAATCAGTTGCATTTTCATTTACAGGTTCTAATATTTTTTTTCTCATTGTTTTAGGAAGTTGGGGGCTCAAGGGTCACGACTTACTGGAGCAGGATGGGGAGGCTGCGCAGTATCAATAGTACCTGCGGACAAGCTGCCCGGCTTCCTAGCCAATGTGCACAAAGCTTATTACCAGAGGAGTGATGGAAGCTTAGCACCAGAGAAGCAGAGTTTGTTTGCTACCAAACCTGGAGGCGGGGCTTTGGTTTTCCTTGAGGCCTGAAAAAATGTAAAAAATCTCAGAGAAACTATTTAGGACACTTAGGAATTGGCAGGACTTTCTATGCCACAGTAAATTAATCTTCTTTCTGTTTTGTATTATGATGAATGGTTGCTATTATATCAAGATATATTTTCAAAGAAATGATTGAAAGCTCTCTATGCTTCATAATGATTATTTTTCCATCTTAAAATATGGTTTTACTATTAAGAGTCAAGATCATGCTTGGACAGATCTTTTAAGAATAATTTACTGAGAATTATTCATTTGAAGATTTTAAAGATGAATGGTAAAACACACTCTTAATACTGATTACATGAATTGGACTTGAATTAAATATATTGTTAAAATTAAACTGATACCATTGAATTGTATGCATTATTCTTAAATAGAGTTCATTTCCAGTTTCTCTTAGTACTCTTCTTCCTCAAAGTTGTAGTTCTCTGTTGATGATGATGATGACGACGACAGTGATGCCACACATTCTCTCTCAATTTCAGCTTCAGAACGCTATGAAAATAATACATGATTAAAGTTTCACAGATTTTCTTGGACATTGTATAATTGAATGTGAGATTTCTCCAATTATCAAGAGAGTAAGGAATTTTTTTTTTTCTGACAAAAGGAGGATATGGGAAGAAAATTCAGACTCATTTGAATATTTTTAAACCATGTGATATCATTGAAATAACCACTTTCAATTCTTTTGGCCCTGAGCTATCTCCATTACTTAACAGGAAAACTTAGATAAAAAACACTTTAAGTCTCTTCTATTCACATTGAAATAAAGAATTATCTAGATGATAATTCAGGTAATTCAGTTTGTTCATAGAACTTACTTTCTTATCACTCTTTTTCTACTACTTTTTCTCAAATACCTCTCTAATTCAAGAGCCACTTCCAAGAAATCCCACACATTCCTTATATCCCTTCTTTGTTTATCTAGAAAAGCTTGTTTGTATATATGCACCCCAGTATAAAGCAGATATGCAAGTATGTGGGTGAAAGTGACTATGAAAAGACTTAATGAATTCTGGGATTTGTAACGGTATTGATGGGTACCTCTGTATGTACATCAAGAGTGGGCAGAAATGTTTGGCTAGTGATGGCAAATGACTGGCTTTCTCTCGTGGATGGACTATAGGAAGCACTTTCTGAATTACGTAATGATTTGGACCAAAAAGTATTTTGCTGAAATACTCAGGTAATTGAGATAGCAGTGGTTTTATGGCATGAATTATCCAGAAATATCACAATTACTTATGATTCTGTGATTTCATTAGCTCATTAATGTTTAACTCACAGATTGGGCATCACCCTCTAGAATTTCAGTTTAAGGGAGGCCTGCGCAAAGCTGGTTTTATTTCTTAAAGGATAACAGTCATACATAGAATACTAGGAAAGCCGATATTCTATTTTAAAATAAACTTCTGATGCATTTTCATTCTTAGCAGAAAGGTAAATGCTTGAGAAAGCTTGAGTCAAATTTGTTAAAAGAATTTTGAGTTCTATAAACCCAAAAATCCAAAACCTGCATTTATTTAAATTTATAATCTTTTATTTTTTAATACTGTGCCATTTTCCACAAAGGATTTGTGGTTGGTATATAATTCTTTAGAGATACCTGGATCAGTGTAACAAAAAAAAAAAGGCGCTTGTCATTGCTTTGCTGTTCCATTTAAAATTTTCACTAGGTGATTTCTTCTTCACAAAAGGTGAGTAAAAATTTCCAGTGTGCACTCTTCTTTGGGGGACACACATGGTCATCTAAGCGAGGGATCTATTCTATATGTGTTTTGATTTCTCTCTTGAAAAAAAGAACTATGTTTCAGTCTTACCATCACTGTGTGGTATTCTAGACATTATGAGAGATGCCGAACTTACCTGGAAGGGATAGTGCCGGGGCCATTAGAAGAAAGATCATGCAGTAAGTGGATTTTGAGCATGGCCCTAAAGGATGAGTAGAGTTTAAAAGCTGTGGAGTGCACACTGCAGATGAGCAAAGCCTAGGGGTACAGGCCGACATGGTGCATGAAGGAGGCTCAGTGAGAGTGAAGGGTTTGCTTTGGTATGTTGTGAAGAACAAGATTGACTATGCTGGCTGGAGTTAGCTTTTGAAGAGTCAAATCCAGGCAGCATTTAGATCAGGGGTTACAGCCCAGCAGCCCACGGGCCACATCTGGTCTGCAGATGTATATAGTTTGACCCACAGAATGACTAAAAACTTGGGCTCCAAATCAGGAGATTGTACAAGCAGTATCACATATTCTGGATTACTCAGAATCTGGATTACTGAGTGGTGGAATATCTGATACTACTTGTCCTACATTTCTGCAGAGCATCAATGAACTAGGGCTGAGATAGTAGCTGTCTTGTTAGATGAGGCACGGCTTTCCAGTGCGCTACAGTTTCCACAACTGCTTGTATAATAATTTCCCTGACACTCAAATCATTTACCACTTACCAGCTGGGGTCACTTGCCCTTTATCAGCACACTTGCACTGTTGTTTTCCTATTCTAATTAGGTATTTCTCTGTGCCCATGTCTCTATCAATAGTAGGGAAGATAGACCCCAAAAAAAAAGAAAAATGAATATTTTCATGTGTGGATGTAAAAAATAGTCTTTAGCTGGGAGCGGTGGCATGTGCCTGCTGTCCCAGCTACTTGGGAGGCTGAGACAGGTGGATCACTTGAGCTGAGGACCTCAAGGCTGCAGCACTGCACTCCAGCCTGGGTGACAGGTGACAGAGTGAGACCCTGTTTCAACAAAAAAATAAAAAGAATAGTCCTGTTTGCTTATTATACTGTCCTGTTTGTATATTATACAACACCCAGGTGTTTCACCACTTTCTCATTTTTCTGACCCATGTAGGAATTTGATTTGACCCATTTTTGACATTATACTAGCAGCCAATGGGATTGCTCCAGATTTTTGAGTGGAAGCCTTGACATGCTGAAAATAAAAGGCTCTCCTCTATTCCTGACCTCCAGTTGTCCAACCTTCAGACATATTGTACACTAGTCTCTATATGTTCTTGTCTGTTGGGAGGGAGGAGGCCCTTCAGACTTAACAAGACTGCCCATAGGTAAAGAGAAGCAAAAGAGAAGATGACAAGGAAAATCAGAAAGATGGAACAGGCTCCTTTCTTTCCTTCCTTTCTCATACTTGAGTCCTATTTAGAACCTTATGATATTCTGCCTTGTGTTTCCATTAATTGAGGGCAGGGTCCATCCATCTAACACAGCTGTTGGTACCCAATATGATTTTGTTGAATTATTAATGAAAAACAAAATACAGCTTCAAACATCAGTGATTATTAGTTTGTAATTCTAACTGCATTTGGAGCTTTTCAGTTACATAAACCGTTCCTGGTCAGAAGCTGGAAATGGGGAAAGTGAACGTGAGTTGTCACTCAATATGTAAAACAGAGATTTTCTTACATGTGCATGTGGATGATTAAATGACAAGAATGTATCCTCTTCTGCCACTGTAATTTGGATGTGCCACCATACATTCTTATGAAATATTGTCCAGTCTATATAAAAGAAGCTAGAGAGAGAATTCTCAATTATTTTCAGAAAGAAAACATACCAGTTCATGTAGAAACTTCTCAAAGTCCTGTTTCACTTCATGAGGTTTCTTGGTAGCTTTTGCTTGGAGTCTAATAATGGAATGAAGAAAATCAGTAACCAAACTAATTGTCCTTATACTGACACCATCTAATAAGCAACATTTATTAAGAATTTAATATACTGGGCATTTGCCCAGCACTTTACATATATTAATTCAATTACCCTTAAAACTTCTGAAGTAGGCACTACTATTATCCTATTTTATAAATGAGGAAACAGGCTTAGATAGGTTCGGACACCCACCCCCGCTGCATGTGCGTGCATGCACACACACACACACACAGCAGTCATACATCTAGCAAGGAGACAGTCTGAACCCAAGCATTATGACTCAGGCCTTCAATTCCACCCACTGTGTGGTTCTCATCCCAGCAGTGGCACATCCTCTTCAGTTAGATGGTTCACAGAGTATTGCTTTAACTGATTCCACTCATGAGGCTCTAGCCCAGACTTTAAGGAGTGACAGTGGGGAGAGAAGAGTAAAAGAGACTGGCGAGGGAGAGATACAGGGAAGAAAGAGAGGGAGATGGAAAAGGCCAGTGGGTAAGAGTGCTTACTAGACTGTAAGCTCATTGTGAGCAGGGATCCAGGAATCTCATCGTATCTATCACCAAGTATTCATTCAAGAAATATTTATGAAGGACTTGAATGGTTGAATTCAGGAAGCAGCAGGAACTTTTCCAGAGATCTAAGAATGAGGGGAGAAGCAATGGTAGCTAGGCAAGGAAGGATAGAAACTTGAGACAAGGAGAAACATTAGTAAAAGTAACACAGATGAGAGAAAGAGAAACGGAATAAAGGATGTATAAGACTATTAATTTCACTGGCAATTTTCAAGTGACATACTTAAAAACTATTTTTCCATAAAATTGGCAGGAAGTAAAATTTTCTGCAAATCCCAAATACACGTTGCTGAAGCAGCCAGTTTAGATGAGCTATTTAACCCCTTGCCAGGCCTATCCGAGGTGTCTTCAGCATTTAGACCAGCGCACCCCGAAGGCAGAGTGGGATTACTTAGTCGGAGGTTCTCTTGCATTCGTGCTCTGTGACTGGCACATGCCCCCTCACTCATTCTCTCTCTGCTTGTTTTGTCTTCTCAAGCTGGGTTTCCTCCTCACTGATTGCTCTTTAGGCCTCACATTTTTCCTTCCATGCTTGTCTCAAATCTGGCTCTTAAGGTGTCGATTCTCAGTAACACCTTCTTAGAATCTCCTTGAACTGCACAGTATCCTTAGAATCTGTCTCATCTCACTAAGTTAAAATCACTCCCTCTTCCAAGTCACTCTTCTAGTTTACAATCTCCCCTCTTAAAAAAAATAACAGTTTTATTCAGATATATGTTACATACCATAAAATTGAACCATTAAAGTGTACAGTTCAGTGGTTTTAGTATATTCATGAAGTTTTATAACATTACTAATCCTCCCTCTTTCTGATTGCCTTTCCTCTCATGAATATCTCTTTTCAAGATTACAAATGGAAGCTCATACACTGTGCCTATAACTTTAACAAGCACATGGGATTTATATATCCGAATGCGTATTTTTCAACAATGTGCCATTGCATTAAACATATTTGAATACTTCTTGTGAGTTACTCTGAAAATTGTCCTACATTCCTCTGCATATTCTCAGTGGTGAAAACTCTTGTCCTGTGTGGATTTGATCTTTGGAAACTTGTAAGAGTCACCCGGAATGGAACCTTATAACAGGTGTTGTGAAGCAGAAAGCTAGGTGATAAAGTTTTTGGTGAAAAGTGAGATAAGATCCTAAAGTAGTGGGTTTAATTTTCTCATGTGACTAGAAAACTAGCTTTGTAAGTTCTAAAATCGTATTTAGAAGTATGAAGTGTGACTGGCACAAAGTTACCGTCTCCCTAGGGGGCTTGTTTGAAGGGCTGGACTTGTCTAATACTTCTTATTCTGCACGTGCTTGCCGGTGTGTTGTAAGAAGTAGGTTAACCTCAATACTTTATAGTTTTTCTTCTTATGGTTTAATTTATAAAATAAACAAATGAGTCCCTTCATTGAGGAAAAATGTTTATATGCATAGAGGAAGAAGAGAAATAAAAAACTAGCCCAAGAGAGACCAGCTAAATCGGTTGTTTTTCTAGTTTACAACTTTCATAGGATGGGGCACGCTTATCGGTTTATTTTGAAAAGGACTTGAGCTTAAGTCCTGTGGCTGGAGAGGAAAAAGTAGATGATGATAATGTTTAGCGATTAATTAAATGATCAGAGTAGATTATTTTGTGATTAAAGAAAGTTAAAATGTTACTCCAGATTAACTGTTAACTAGAAAACTTTTTTTGCAGTTTTGTGGTTTTATGTAACATCTCTTCAATTAAAGATGATCTTAAGCACTACCAATTGAATAAGAGACAAACCTATCAAGCTCCTTGTCAATTCTTTCCTGCCGCCATTTTAGAAGTTTTAGTTCTTCATTAATTCTGAGCTTTTCCCTATAAAGTCAAAATTTGAAGTTAAATTTTAAAATAATGCAGGCATTACTAATTGGAAAATAATAAATCAGCAATTTACTGATAATACATGTGTTAATAAAAGCCCTCGACAAACCAATTCATTCCCTCCCTATGCACTATTTAGTGTAAAGAATCCCTCAGCACATTCCCTCTTACAAACATGTGCCGACGGTATCACCTACCATGCCTGACGACAGCTGGACTCCACCTTCTGCTACCATGGGGGCCCTCTGGAAAGGTATCCATCCCTGTTTTTCCCACTAAGTGCAGGAAGTCTAAGGGGTATGTGTGTGTGGACGTACACATGCATCTGTGGGTGGGTGGGCGGGAGGGGAATGGGGACCCTTGGAAAACGGGGGTGCAGGCTTTTAGATCTGCCCACTGGATAGGACATAACTGGTGGTCCTCCATTTACCTCTCTTGGAGGTGCTGCTTGGACAGCAGGAGGCACCCAAAAGGGAGGATCATCTTTTCTCCCCCTAAAGGCAATGACATCTCAAGGCAGTAACTTTGATAGCATGGACAGAAGAAGTGGACCCTGCCAATTTGTTCTTGTAAAAATTGATGGATATTCTCTCATTAACCCATTCCTAGCTTCCTAGCACATAAGATTACCATGACTGACCACAAGCAATTATTTAAATTAAGTACAAATAACTGAAAATGTTCCCCCAAGAAAACATTTCAGGAAGGACTTTGCTCTCTTGATTTCCTTGCTTGACACCAGCCAGCTGCCACCCCAGCTCCAGGGAATTCCTTCTACTGCAGGGAACCTTTCTGCTGGTCTTCCAGGGCTTATCTTTGTAAATGGACGATACTCCAATCTCCATTCCCTGGAGCTCTTGCCTCTTCCTGTTGAGGTGCACCCCTCCAGTCACACCAAGCAAAGCTGCTTTCCTTTCTTCTGTCCCTCTCACTTGCCATGGTTCCATGGTTACAACATACACCCTTGACACTTACCTGAAAAGAATCTCTGAGTCTGTAAGATGCTCAGACATGACTCTCATGATTAACATAAGGAACTTAGTTTACATGATTTCTCTGTTTCCAGCTCTAAAAAAGTATTATATTTAACAATAGTATAGCATCAACTTACATCCTAAAATCCTTTTGGTTCCTTGCAAATTGTCTTTTTGCCTCCTTTATAACATCACGGTATGTTGGAGCAGGTAGTGTGCTAGGCTTATTATTAAGGAATGATTTTAATTAGGAACATTTGGGAAGTAAATACTACCCTTCACAGAGGGACCAAGGGGACTATGTGACTTCACTTTTCAGTAATGAAGAGTCTCAAGTATAAACATGAATATTATGTCCGGAGTTACACCCAGAGGACTGAAAGAAGGCAACACCACTTTAAACTTGTCCCATTATCTCAACCATAGCAACCACAGGGCACTATGATTTAATAGTTTCATAAATCCTGTAATTACCTTACCTTTTGTGTGTCTTTGTTTTAAAAGCAGCAACTTGTTAAATGTAAATACTAAAAATTACCAAAATATTAAAAATGTACCAAAATTCATTTTTTTCTTATTTATTTCTGAGACAGGTCTTGCTTTGTCACCCAGGCTGGAGTGTGGTAGCATGATCATAGTTCACTGTGGCCTCAAACTCCTGGGCTCAAAGGAATCCTCCTGCCTCAGCTTCCTAAGTACTTGTAGACGGGATCTGCTCTCTTGCCCGGACTGGTCTTGAACTTCAAACTCCTGGGCTTAAGCAATCTTCCTGCCTTGGCCTCCCAAAGTATTGGGATTACAGGCATGAGCCACAACACCCAGCTTTCATTTTCACATATACTGAGAACCTTAAAGACTCTTTATTTCTAAGAGGCTTTGGGGGTAACTGGCAGCATGTGTGGCTGCCTTAGCCTGGTTTCTGCTCTCTGCCCAGAAGAAAGGTGGTAATCAGAATGTCCAAGTATGCTGCTAAAGAAGCTGGGTTCCTCTGTCCTGTCTGTTTCTGGTACAGCCTGTGGATATGTCCTAACCTTGGCCTTAACCCATGCCTGATCTGGCAAAGCAGCCACTTCCCTTTTGAAGTGGCAATTGACCAGTATTGGCCAATATTAGCAAGGAGACAGACAAGCTCCTCCGCTTGTGTTAAATGAAGACCTTAGCCTCGCTGTTAACACTAGGAGCTCTTAAACCTCTGCCATCACTAAGATATAGGGGATGAACTGTCCTCTTACAGCCCCGCTCCCATTGTGAAACTTCAGTATTACCTCTTTCTCTGAATGTAGTTTGCCTATTTTTAAAAAAACTTTATTTTCTGTTTCAAGGCTGTTGCTGATGCTCATTTTATTTATTTTTCACTAAGTATTTTATTCATTTATTTGAATAATTTATTTCTCACTTGGTACGTACTTTTTAAAAAATAGTTTCAACTTTTATTTTAGATTCAGGAGGTACATGTGCAGGTTTGGTGCATGGGTATATTTCATGATGTTGAGGTTTGGGGTACAAATGATCCTGTCACCCAGGTAGTGCGCATAGAACACGATAGTTTTTCAACACTTGCTCCCCTCCCTTCCCTTCTCTTATAGTAT